TCCTCATGTGGCCGTATGTATGAGCCGAGAAGTTGTGGAAAAATCAGTGTCGGTTCCTCCGAAGGTACGCTTCAGGAGGCCCACGTCTTGGATGCCACGCCTTGACGCCTATACAGCCTGATCCGAACATCCAAGAACGAGCCGGACCAAAACTCCCAGAACCATCTTGCCAGAAGAGGTTTGACTCTCCTGGTTGCCGAGTTTGTAGGAGTACGCCAACTTGTGCCGTAAGTGCAACACTCTACATTTGTCCACATTGAATCCAAAGAAATTCTGGATTGACCACGCGTATACCTCACCGTGATCACCTAGAAGTACTGTGACAATATCCGGTTTATTGGTCGCCCTCCACACCTTGATGTGATCAGCATAAATCAAAGAATGCGAGCTTATGAAGCGTGCGATTGGTTTATATACGTAAACTATAACCACGGTTCTAGTATTGATCCATATGGTTCTCCGTATGCAACTTGGATAGAATCCGACAGAGACGCACGCACTCGTACTTTCAAGCACAGACGTAGAAGAAAGCTGCTGATCCATCCTAGGGGAGGTCCACTAATACCACACGTCTGGAGCTTGAAGAGCAGAATGTTACGGTTTACCGGTCGAACGCCTTTGAGAAGTCAAGGAAGACTACAACAACTGCTGTGCCAGAGTCCAGTACTTCATTCCAGCTGGATCGAGCTAGCAGTAGATTTGTACTGCACGATCGATTTCGTCGGAAGTCATGCTGTTCCGGTGCGAGGTAGTTAAGTTCTTCTAAGTGGGTCGTTAACGCACCAGAAATAATAGCTTCCATGACATTTGAAAGAACCGGTAGGAAGATTATGCGACGATAGTTGGCTGGATTGGAACGACTACCTCCCTTGTGAATATGGGTAATCATCCCGTGTTTCCACATGTCGGGCACGTACATTTCTTCGAAGCAGTGTTTGAAGAATAGAGCCAAAGGCTCACCTAAACTATTTCCTACCACCGCTAGCGACTTCATGTGTATGATATCAACTTCAGGAGGACTGTGCTTACTCATACTCAATAGCTTGGTTAGTACAGTTTCTGCCGTGAACGACAGGTGAGTGGGTTTTGGGGGGGGGGTGAAACAACCCTTGTCATAAGGTTTAGTGGCCAGTGATTGCATTGAAAAGTTGCGCGTGTTGCAGCCGCTTAGTATTCCCCGCCTCCTTCGGTGTCCGTTTGAGTCCATCCACTGTTTGAAAAGGAGGAATTCTCCGTTTCACCTTACGTAGATTGTTGACGTGTTGATACAGAAGATTATGATTTGAGGTCATAAGCACTGTGAACTTAAGCTCGTACGCTATTCTATCCTTGCGAACAAGCTGAGTACAGTGGTTAAGTTGGGCCGCATGGGCCATCCAGGTCTCGGTGCTCGGTGAGCGTTTGTAGAGATGCCAAATCGAGTTCCGCACTGCTATATCCTTGCGTGTCTTGCTTTGCAGAAACGATACCACCTTTCTCGTGTGGGCAGTCTTAGTCGCTGATGCTTCGGCAACCAGAATTAAACTGGCTGACGAAATGATCCCATGCACTAGCTGATGCCTCATCTGCCCGAAGAGTCCAGTTGGTTGGCTCACTTAATCCATCTATGTCGTAGCGCGTTATTGCCTTGGCAATTTCCACGGGATCTACTGCAAAGCAAATGTATTCGAAGAGTAGGACGACGTAATCGCTGCGGCCCAAAGGGCGGTTCGACGATAACCCTGTAGATCAGTATCTTTTCGTTGGTATATATCGGATCCAGTATTGACGGTTCATCTTTCTCTCGGAATCCGCATTGACAACACATAAGAACAAAGTGGTTTTTTTATCGAACCTTCCATACTGATTGTGGAAGCGACATGATGGAACAATCATACCTACAAGTTGTGTCTTGTGGAAAACTTGTGACAGAAATCCACAGTAGGTAACCATAATAAGCGTGCTATATTCTGCAACCATCCCAAGATCGCATTTCTTCTTTTTATCTCTGTTTCTGAGCATCATTGCTTTCCCGAAAAGTGGAGTGGAAGAGATTAACTGAAAAAACGCGCAGCGTTCTCTTGGTTTGAGCAATACAGTGGTCGAAAAGAGACAGTGATTCCTACCGTCAGCTTTCTCAGTAAATTTCGTCATCGATGAATTAATAGAAATTGTGTTCATTTAACACGACTTATGTGTAGACGCTCCCAGGTGATAGACTCCTTGAGTTAGAGTAGACCGACGACAGCTGGCAAATATGACGAGCAGCATTGGACAAATGAACAATGGCTGTCAATAAATGAATTAATTGATCATTCTCAGCAACACAAGGCTATGCTTTGTACTCTCGAAATGCAAGCTTGACATGAACTCAGTCCTGCGCTAACTACTGGTAGGTATCAACTAGAACCCGTACAGAAGTGCAATTATCCGGCAGCTATATCAGCACCTGTAAAATAGAAGTGACGAACTGAGTAGCATAAGTTCGGAGCACCGATTGCGTCGGGGCGATTTCACCCTCACCCTAATCGGAGCATTCTGCGATGCAGCCGTCCGTTCGACCCTACAGTTGTGAAACCTGGCTTAAAAATATCTAAAGACGTACGGAGGCTAGTTACACTCAATCGTCTGTGTTTTCACAGCTTAGCGCACAGCTAGTAGGAACAGTGGGTGAGCAACGAACGGGTTCGGCGTCTAGTATTTGGAGCGACTGAACCAGTCATCCCCATTATTCCACGTACCAAGCTTCGATGGCTTTGTCTTGCGTTACGCACGCCACGTCATCGGCTTCAACAAACTGCGCGGTTTGCGCGTTTGGAGTGTGGATGGAAGGAGAAGTAGGGATGCCAATCGATGGCTTGGTTAAGAGAAATGAAGAATGTCACTTCGAAGTTGGCCTACGTTGGAGCCTCCCGACTCCCCGGTTGGAGTCCGAAAGAAAATGAACACATCTGACTGGACAAAGTTGTTGATATGTCGAATAACCGACCATAAGGACGTGCGTGCTGTGAATTCCCTTAGCCTGCCCCTACCCGTTTAGTCTCCTCTTGCAATCAAAATCTCATGTTTAATGCATAATATAAAAAAGTGTAGCAATAATTTTTGTTTTGTTTGTCTCTGTTGTTTTTTTATTTCAGTGCCACCTGGTTGAATTGTGTTGCGGCACAACACCTGGGATGTTTCCCACCCCTAACCAATGTGCAGAGCAATGGTAATGATGACGGAGAGACGCGAGGGACGCGAAAGTCACCGATGTCTCGCATCGATGGCGCAATGGACCCCACTGGTGCTGCATCGACCAATAAGCTGGTGTCATTGAAAGTGAAACCACCATCAATTGCATTTGACCTTAAGCCATCACAGCAGTCGAAGCTGATGTGCCGGTAAACTGCTTGAAACACGGGTCTGGAGTGGCAGTGAGTATTTGCTGGCTTTATGCAAACAATGTAGAATATAGTGGCATCAGTGAGTGTGAACCCTAAATAAAAAAAACTAATGCGCATAAAAGTCAAGGTTTGACACGTCCCATGGGGTGGTTTCTGAGGATTACCAAAGTTCAACAAAAAGTAGTTACACTAAAGTGAAACGCGTATCTGAAGACTCACCATAATATCCACCTTAGCACAGAAGTACATCCGTCTACACAGATTAAGTAGGGGCTAGTGAGCATAATTGCGTCTTGTCGTCACTCGATAAAAAAGAATTTAAATTAGAATTTAAATTATAAAACAAACCACCGGATGACACTGGAGGCGCTCTACTGAAGCCATGTTTCTTAGTACAACTCACTGTTTGATTTTCCGTTTTCGATTCAAACATGGAGCTACTTTTTTGACGAGACAAGAGCCAAAAGAACTCAATACTGAGGAACCATAAGTGTCAACTAACAAAAGCATACATATCAAAGCGTTTGCATGAATATGAGGCGCCATTCTCCCATAACCTACCACGAATACGCAACTGTTTCCATCACTCAACCCAATGAATGTATGATGCTGAAACGAGCTAACCATATAGTTCAACAATAGTGTAACACACAAAAGCATTTACATACACGCTGAATTGGTCTGAATTAGTTTTGTATGACATAATTTGAGACACAAATAAGTATCTTCCTATCTAACGGCATGCGGGAACAGTCTCTGATACCGCCGAGAAATTAAGGAGTCTCACCTGTTGATTGTTTTTCCGAGCTTGATTAAGAAATCGCATACGTTTCACCACCATGCGAGGTGGCATCTTCAGTGCAGTAATAGGCAGTGTGTATTGCTGCTTAGTGAATTGTCAGTCCGTCACCTGCCCGTGCATGACGGACTGACAATTCACTAAGCAGCAATACACACTGCCTATTACTGCACTGAAGATGCCACCTCGCATGGTGGTGAAACGTATGCGATTTCTTAATCAAGCTCGGAAAAACAATCAACAGGTGAGCAACCAAGCCGGGCTACCAGTGTTCCAAGTTATTTCAAATTAAAGAGTCGTTTATTTATGGGAAGCCTGTTATGCGCCTTTTTGGTTCTTATTCCTTCAGAATCGCCCTAAGGAAATGCAGCGTGTGGACTGTCCAGTGCACGATTTTCAGCTTCTTCCCTGAGAACAATTGTCTTGTTGGTTATTCACAATCACAATGACAAGCAAGATTGATAATAGAGTCTGCCAGTCACCACTGCCGATACTACTGGCACTATGCATACGGTTGACTTAAGCATCGCTGAGATCCTAAAATCCCTGCAGTTAGTGAGCAATGGACTCCGGGGTATATCCGCAGCAGTGAAGGCAACGCGTCGTTACTGTATGAACGACGACAGGGAATATTTAGGATCTGAGAAAGTTCGCATTATGTACCGACCACAGTGATGAATGAGGATTTTGTACGTTGGGTTTTAGTCATGTTACTCAAGTAAGCGAATCATGTAAGTATCAGTAAGTGAGTACGTATCATCGGTCCGACGGAAATCGTTACGAAAGATAAGTGAATTACTCATCTGCCGGATGACACATGAAAACAATGCGCTTACGTTCTCAGTCTCCTCATCATCCCACAGAATTCCCGTATTCGTCGGCGCGAAGTCTGGGAGCTGGATGGTGTGGTTGGTAAGCTGTGAATAATAAAAACGACGTCTGCTGTTAAGGAAATGGCTGAATACAAAAACAAGAATGAAACCCTGATGGCTAGGTAGGGTGTGAGTTGTAATAGACCACGATTTAATACCGGTACAGAGAGCAATGTTTGAAGTCGGATTAAGTGACCCTGCGGTGCAAATTGTGCAGAATATGCCACTTAAGCGATCTCTTACTTACTCCCCAACTAAACAGATAAGTTGCTGGGTATGATGTCACATTTGTTGTTTGCACCTCTGTTGTAAAAATGATAAGGATGGAATTGAGAAATAGTTCCAGGGCTGACCAATGGGCTGTAGCTCGATTTATCGAGAAATATACCATGTTATTTTCACTATGTTCATAAGATTGGTTGCAGATCCTACTTCAAGTTGCTGCAGTGTTGCCTTGCTCACTTGGTGGTAGTGCAAGCACGCATGGATAAGTAATCTCATGGGTGACTGTGACAAGTTGTGAGTGCGCGTGCCGTTTGACGGTTCGTAGCATTGCCCACACATTCAGGGTAAACCTTGCGGTTGCTAGCTCAATCTGTCAGTACTCATAACTGCCCAGCTTCGTCGAAACTGCAGCGCAAAGTGGTTATATTTGCAACGGATTTCACACACTTCGATATATTATCTGACTACAGCATGAAGGTAAGTGTTCAGAACCGGAAGAACATTTCCAGGTAGTACACTCCAACTACGTCTTGTATGAGAGAAGTATGGTGGTTATATATTTTTGTTACGTTCGCAGGGCTGGTCGATCAGATAACGTCATCGTTTACCGTCACGTCGGAATTAGGTTTGCGCGGAAAGGTAATTAGTATTCCAATAACACAAGAATCTCTGCGAGGTAAGTGTTGTGTCGCCATCGACAGTCCATGTCCCCACGACCGAAAGAAGAACACGAAGATGAGACAAGGCCGAATTGTATGCATGAGAACACTGCTTCCTTATAGAGGGTACAATAGTTTAGGAAGCAAAGCTACTAAGGCATGTTGGAACCAAGCAACATTATAGGAAACAACGAGTAATACGAGCGAATGAGAAGTGACAAAAGAATTAACCAAGCGTCCGAGTCCTAGGAAACGGCATTAGCGGAACTAGACTCCTGAGATACCGCCGATTATGAACGACTTAGAACAGTCAATAGAGGCAAAGAAATGGTGCGTTTAAACCAATGTCAAGTAACAAACGACGGCGAAACGAAAGGCGACTAAGAATTGTATTAAAAATATAAATGTCCATCGAGCATCCCCCTAACAGTGCGCATCCTTTCTGATTTGTTGTCGATAAGTGGAATGACCAATCAAACACCCAGACCATGAACCATTCGGCTGATATGTGGTTCATTAGCAAGCAGCAAATATGGCGGACTCATAGAGCAGAACACGTAGTGTTCACTCTAGATGTTATTGTACGCCAAATTGGAATTGCGTTGGACAAGACAGTTTCTAATGGAATTGTACTTTGAGATGGATTGGTGAGTGCGTCGTGAACGGCCAGAACAGTATTCCTCTGATTGATATTGTGAGATTGATTTTTTGAATGCATATACGAAGGTAATACGTTGGATACTTTTGGGAAAGGAATGAATTCAAATCACTTACTGGGTTGTAAATGAAGGCCGAGGAGCGCTGATCAATGCAGGCCACACGTGTACCATTTGGATTAGGGAATATGTTCACGATGCCGTTGGTGTGTACAAATTCGCTCAGGTAATCCCAATCCTCGAGATGGAAGTAGCGCAGTCCACCGAACTAAATTCAGTATACAAAATTTGAGTGCAATAAAAGAAGCAGCATAAAGGTGGCATAGTGATCTCATCGTTGATCAGTCACATAAACTGAGTTTTCCCGGGTAAAAGGCAGCTAACTGTCTCTAAACAGCGTTTGCATACTATACGATGCAACCGCTCGTTCACTAGGAGACCTAGTGCAAGTAAACCAGTCAGGGATTACGCACTCTGCCGTGATACTTTTAATATGCAAACAACGCAACCTACATGAACGCTGACGCCAAAATCGAAACCCTCAACCACCCGAGGTATTCCCATTCATTGAGTGTCTGCGCGTGGCCTATTCCGGCAGCTATCAATGCAACATAAGTGCTAATCTTGTATTAGAGTGAGCTACGTGAGTCTAGGGAGACAAATAATGCATACTCTAGCGCTTACCGTTATGCTTTGGTGCTTCTACTAAGTAAAAACATTCCGAGACATGAGGTACAGGACAAAGTACCGCGAAATAATTCTGGAAGGTTTTAGATATAGCTATACATATTTAGTTAGACATCGTTCAATATTGTTGTGAAAGGCCTACTACGACATTGGCGCAATTCAACAGCAATGCAGGACAAAAACATCGAAACAGCCCCTTTCACAAACGACGCCCCAGGCGCTAGCTACAACCCTTTCGTCGGCATCAGGATAATGTCGTTAGCGCCGTGCCAGTGGATAACTTACCAACTGTGTTGAAACGGCTGATGTTCTCGCGCGATTACAGCTCCCATGGTGCAGACGACATTCCCCTAAAGGCGTTAAAAGTTTCTGCCATGGGTTTAGCTGCACAGTTAGCAATACTTTTTTGGTGATGTCTATACGAGATGTGAAGGCACGGAATTATCAGTCAAATTTACAAAATTGGTAGCCATGCAGAACTAGAAAATTATCGTGCGATAACATCCGTTCCGGTGATTTCCAAGAAAATGGAGTCCATTGCAGCTGCGGCGCTCATGGGATATGTGGAGAGTAATAAAATTCTCGTTCCGGAGCAACACGGATTTCGCCAAAATCGGATAGTACTACAAACCTGTTGATAGCTCGTGCGTGCTGGGCGAAATCTGTGGATGCTGGTGAACGAGTAGATCCCGCCTACCTGGATTTCCCAAAGGGATTCGACCCTCTGGACCATCACATTTTATTTCACAGACTGCAGAATTATGGAATCTGCGATCCCGATAGGGGCTGGATGGGCAAATTTTTCGTTCGAAGTCACTTGAATATGAGGGTTCGCAGCACCCTATTCGACCCTATCGAAGTGCAATGCGGCCTACCTCGGGGCTCGGTACTCGGGCCCTGGTCTTCATACATGAGCTCGCGAGAATGCTATCTACAAGCTTCCTACTATTTGCCGATCATCTATAATTATGGTGTAATCTCACTACCTTGGAAAATCACACATACAATATCATCGGGAAAATGTTGCATTTCAATATCAGCAAGTGCACAGTTCTCTGTATACGCCATCGTAGTGTCCACAACTACCGGCTAGAATCAGAAATTCTACAGTGGGCCTCTCATGAGTGCGATCAAGCAGTGCTCGAGCAAGATGACTTTCCTTGTTTGGAGCAGACTGGAAAGGAACAGAAGAAAGCCAATCAACGTTTCGGTCTACTTTGCAGAGCGTTCGGGATGTTCGACGCCTCATTCTTTCCGAAAATGCTTGGCGCGTACGTGAGGTCGCATACGGAATACGCTATTCATGCGTGGCAACCCTGGCATAATCACCGCCTCACCGTGCTGAATACTTCACAACGCAGAGCGACGAAAACGTCATAGGTTTGCCTCCCCCTTCCCTACACACTTAGGCTAATAACTTTAAAAATGTACAGCAGAGACCATCGGCTTCTACGAGGAAATCTCAAAATGGTGTATCGGATCCTAAGAAACCCTAACTACACACGCCACTACCTTTAGAAACTTAGTCACAACACATTTCTGGGGGGTCATCAGTTCCATTTGGTCACGCAGTACTACCGACTGGAATGTCGACGAAACATTTTCTCCCTCCGAATCTCACAGGCTAGAAACACCATCCCGTCGCATGAAATTGTTGTCCCACAGTTTATCCCTATACAAAAAACACCGTGATGATAACCTGTCATGTTTACAGTACGAGATATAGCCTATGATAGTCAGATGATGGTAACAGTGTGGAACAAACAGTGAACGCTGTCAAAACGCTCCTAAACTCAAGCAGGGATACTCGCACATATGTTAATCTATACCCATCGGTGAGCCATGTATCTCATAAGTTGTTTTACTGACACTGTTTTTACGTTGTAATTTTCCCCAGGACTTGTCAAGTATTTGTTTTTATATCCCCCATAAGCCATTGCTCCATTGCAACAGCTACTACTTATGTTACTTCAATCTATGCCAGAACTTTTGCATTAGTGTCTAGATGGTATGTTATATGACACGGTGTTAGTGGTTGGGTGTCTTCAGGAAGTCCGCTGGAAGCTTCAGTGGTTAGGCAAAACCGAGTACTTTAGTAGCTTCGTAACAACAAGCTGAATAACCTCGGTGATATTAGGGGTTAGAACAGACTGATACAAGTTGCTTATGAAGAATTTCGTTTGTTGGTTAAAATACTACAAGACGCAATCTGTTCTTTTCTAATTTTCGCTGTCGCTGTAGTATGTATGCAGAGGATAGAGGAAGTACAATATTTGCAATATAATAATGATCAACCTAGTTATCGAGGCTTGTAGTTAAGCCAAACCCTTTTAACAGACCCTTGGCTTATGCAGAACTAAGAGCAAGTACGGATAGCCATTCTGAAGACAATGTAACAATGGGTTATGACAAGTAAAACAAGTGTAGGCTTAGCATGTCCTATAGCTTGGGAGTGGAAGGAACGTAAATTTGTCAATAAGTTCAGCAGTTTAGCAAAAAACGCATAAAATACTAAGATCCATAATTCTGAAATGCTGAAGTCCTTCCTGTGGAGCAGGGCACAAAACAAATGATCTCGAGGATTCCCTTTGGAAAGCATACAGTCACTCAAAATGTTATTAACTGAAATGCTCATATAACCGATGGAAGCTACTAAATAAATAAATAAATAAGTTACTATTCTCGGCAACGCGAGGCATGCCATTAAAGGCATGATCATAGTAATAGTACAACGATTGAACAAGAAATCTGCAACAGTATAATAGGATTTTTATATATGTGGCTCCATAAATGTAGGTTGGTGTGTTGCTTGTGTTTTTAAATGTGTTACCGATCTTTTGAATGTGTTCGATCGCGTCGCCGGTGTGTGAAGAAAAGTTTGACGTTTATGGATTTGATAAGCTTGGAAATGTAAGCTTGGGCAGTGACAAGCATGTCAAATCTGCCCGCGAAAACAAATTGAAACAACAGCAGGATTTAGAGAACATCTACTGTAATCCTAAGCTGCTTTACACACATGTTAACAAGCTCCGCAAGGTACAGCTGGGCATCACACTTCCAGCTATCGCATTTGGGCAAGCCGAACAGCCTAGGAAGCGGCTAACGCTTTCAAACATTGATTCTCTTTCACTTTCTAGAAAGCATCGTCATCTTATACCATGCTCACACAGATAACATCATCATCAGGACCTAGTCGCTTCATTTTCGCGAATGTGCTGAAACGACTGATGTTACTGCGCAAGTACAGTTCACCTGGTCCCGATGACATACGCCCTAAGAGTTTGTTGGTTAACTGCCACGAGCTTGGCCGAACCATCAACTCAGTTTTTCTAGTGTTGTCTCGATGAGATGCAGGTCCTAACAATGTGGAGGCGTAGAACAGTCTTCCCTTTACAAGAGAGGCAATCATGCAGTGTCCGCAAACTACCGCTTGCTTCCACTTCTTCCTGTTCTTGCTAAATTCGTGGAATCTCGTTGCAGTTACACTTATGGGATATGTAGAAAGTTGCAAACCGATCGTGCAGTAGCCCCATGGATTCCGCCAAAACCGTTCATGTTCCACGAAACTGTTGTTAACCCCCAACCAGCTGGACAGAATTCGTGGAACCTTGGGACGGAGTCGACTCCGCCTACACTTGTTTGTCTAAGGCGTTTGATTGCCTAGACCAGCCATTCTCAACTGGAACCATATGGCCTCCAGGGGGCCATAGCGCATTCCCGGGGGCGCTGGGATGAGAAAACTTTAAGGAGGGCCATGGGGGGTCATGCTATGAAATATGGATTATGGTAACACAAAATACAGCATCCATTTTTAGACAATTTTCTGCTAGTTTCTCTTCGCACATTACTCTCCACCGAACAGTGAAATGAATTATGCACCCAAGTGACTGTTTACGAAGGTGTGAGAGCCAACTCCGCCAAGTTTTCACGGATTTTGCCGGGCTCAGCGCAAGCATACAATCACAATACGCGACTTAGACTTCGCAACTAATAACCGATTGGTCCTTGGGGCATAGATGCCCATCCAGAGTGCACCAGCTGAGCTCTACTAATGACACTGATGCATCTACTGTGTAAGCTGTAGTGAACCCACTGAACTCTTCTCAACACGTTGCGGCAGTTACGGCACAAAGCCTACATGACACTAACTGTGTTTGCCTAAGGACACTATCAGTGGGTGAAAACTCATGTGCCTGTCAGTCTTTCTTACTTGCTGGGTCTACGTACAGTAGTGTTAGGTTACGCGTTTTCGTCTCCAGCCTCAGCTCGCATAATCGTCTGGCGGCTAGGTCACGTTAGCCCGCAACGCTCCCCAAGGCACTTTAATAGGGCCCATTTTGTTCTTCATCCATGTAAACGATGTGTCTCAGCTACTCCAATCACCGTATGCGTTATTTACAGATGACTTGAAGGTGTGGAGAGTAATCCGCACCCCCAATGACTGTGACCTGGTTCAGCAGGACCTCGACCACTTCTCCACGTGGTCTGCAGAGGTCAAGCTTCTGATCAACCCGGTCAAGTCGCAATTCATGCGGTTGGGTAAATGTGAGCACAGTCGAACCTACACTGTGATAGCTCAGC